TATTTATATTCATATTTCAACATAGGGTTGTTCAATCGACCGATTATTAACGAGTGGGACGAATATCACCACACATTGCAGGAGAACAAAGAAATGGCCGCGAGCTACGGCAGAGACTATACGGAGAGGTCGACCCGCTAGAGTTCGTCTCTGAAGCGTCTCATGCTGGAGGCAGAAAGCGACGACAGCAGCCATGCTCGGCAGCACTATCATATAGATGGGCGGCCCGTTCTCCCGTGAAGGGGCCTCATGTCAAGCCCCGTATGCAGCCCCGGCTATTGAAGCCGTCTACATCGGAGGTGTCACCCGCGCCCATTTGACGTCATCAAGATGGCCTCGCTGCGAACGCTGGTGTTCAAAACATTCGCGCGTCCGTGTCTTTGCTTCCCGGCAGTTCCAGATGAGGCGTGGCTGAATGCAGTAACGAGGCAGGAAAATCTTACTAGAGACGGCTGCCGTGAAGAATTGTAGTGAATAGAGTACATCCTATAGATGCTCTCAACACACACAGACACACACACACACACACACACACACACACACACACAACACATACACACACATCACACACACACACCCTGCGCGCGCACACACACACACACACACACACCACACACACACACACGCCGCACACACCACACACAACACGCACGCACACACACACAGCACGACACACACCACACACACACGCACGCGCACACACACACAACAACACACACCACACACCACAACACACACACACACACACACGCACACACAACACACACGCACACACACACGACGACGACGACGACGACGACGACACACACACACACACACACACACGACACACACACACACACACACACACACACACACACACACACACACACACACAACACACGCGCGCGCGCAAACAAACTCAATCACGTGCTTTCGCACCATAGAAATAATATAGATACACTAGAACGCCGATTCGCATTCTATCAGCATTCTAGTGTATCTATAACATTTCTATGGTGCGCACGCACGCACACACGCATGTGCACGCGCACGCGGGAGCGTTTGAGCGTGTCTGTGTGTATTTGTCTGTATGCTTGTTTGTAGCAATATTATGTAGATATTCATATACGTAGGCTTATACTTATTTTCACCTAATACCTCACAAAATTGTAAATGGCAATATTCTCAACGCTACCTAAATAGATCGTCGTAATAAAAAGTTGTTAAATTTAGGTTTATTTTTTGTTTCATATTTTTTATGTCGATTTGTTACTAGGATTACGTTAACTTAAATGTATTATGAATTCCATTGTTGTAAATTTATTGGGAATATATTAAATTTTGCCCTTCCTTCATCCTTAAAATTGTTAAATATTATTTTGCTCAACTAACAAGATTGCCTATCAATTATATCTTACCGTCACCGGAAATTGTAAAAATTAAAAAAATATTTCCACTTTTTCACAAAATATAAGTAATTCTGTTCACTTTTTATGGTTAAATTGCTGCATTATGCTTCTTATTTTACTATATTGTCCGATGTGAACATACACTCGTGACTCATACATAGCCCATAGCAAGCAATTAATGTCAGGAACACAATATCAAATCGTCCAGGTTTTTGGATTTTTAACTAGTTGAGAAACAATCCTATCAGGTAAGAATTTGACGATACGTTTAGTCCTGTTAGTACTTACTTTTAATGTAAAAAATGGCAACAACAATTTTACAAATTTTACCATAGAAAATTCGGACGTAGTCAATTTAATATCTAATGCTAAATATTTTATATCTTTAATAATAGTATATAATCTTTTTCTGTATTTCGTTTTTACTTAACTCTAGTCGCAACATAATGAAAATCCATCGTGGGCGCGAAATAAAATTATGATTGATTGATTCAATGGTTGTTCATTATTAACAACAGTTATGCGCACGCTTGCATACATCGATACCGAGAAAAATATCAGCTGTAAATTTACCTGAGAAAATAAACAATTACACGAAACATTATAATTGTGGTATCGTAGTGCGGGTTCACTAGCAGTTTACATTGCGTTCTTAAACTACTACTAGTTTAACGTGAAAAATCATATCATACTTTATTAGGCGTAGCATTTAATAATCGGAAACTATAGCATGCATATAAAACGATAACACGGCGGGAGACTGCCTGGTTAGACCTAGCAAAAGTGTTATGAAATATTCATGTACCGGTTTCATGCGACACGTTGTGTCATTACGTTGTAGACAGCTTATAATCTACGTTATAAAGTCCAAGTTATATCAAAATAGAAATAATATCTAGGAATAAATTTCCGCCGGTCTGCGCTACTAGCGGCTACAGTACAACATCAAAAACAGCAGCCGCAAGCAGAACGACGACGACGATGACGACGACGACGACGACGACGACGACGACGACGACGACGACGACGACGACGGCAACATCAATTTTTAACAGTTACAGAAAAAATAGCAGCAGCAGCAGCAGCAAAATTACATAGCAACAAACGTGTGTTTTGCTTATTTAAACCAACAGTGATAGAGATGTGCAATTTTTCGATTATCAGATGGAGATATTTCGCGCTAACGTGTGATCATGGATGCGGTTGTTGATTTTTGTTTCACAATAATTAATGTTTTCGGTTTAAATCGTCACCCTTTCCTGTCGTTTTCTCTTATATTCGATTAGGTTAAATTCTATTATAACATTGGAACCGTGCGGGGTTGCTGAGCAGGATCATGGCTGTCCGTTGATTATTGGTCGGATTCACCAAGTGATAACAATACCCAGTTCAGAGAAAGCCCACGTGCGGGTTTACAATTACATTATAATAACAATAACATATAGATAATGAGTGATAACAATCAGTTCAGAGAAAGCCCACGTTTACGATTACATAATAATTATAGATAAACAGCCTGTTTTGTTAGCATCTATGACAAATACGACATACGCATATACGCTCTCCTATGACAATATGACAAATATTGCTGTATTATGTATTGCTGTATATGTGTTGTGCGCATCATAGGAGTTTAGGACCGCTATTATGAACTCAAGCAGTGAATTTCAGTTGTAAACGAAACGAAGTTGACTCGCCTATATTTGTCATAGGAAAAATCTTTCTATGACAAATAGTGCCATAGGAGAGCGTATATGCGTAGGTCGTATTTGTCATAGATGCAAGCAGAACATGTTGATATATTTATTTATTTATATAATGGGAAATGTTAGAAAATAGTTATAAGTAGAAGATAAATGTTAAAATCCTAGTCCCGAGTAAAATGCCAATGTCTGTAGCGTTATTTAAATTTCTTACTAAATTATTCCGCAATAATATTTTATACATACACGACGGTCGTATCACTCAAACAGCTGAAGTTGAATAGCACAGAGAAAAATGCCCAAGACAATTACCGCACGCGTGTGCGATCAATATTTTAGTTCATCAAAACGAAATCTCTTTGCAGAGCGAGAGCGAATTTACGGCGCGCGTAAGTTTCAACATGCAGTAATTATCTAGGATGAAGACGGCCGCAGTGAAGCCCTTGCTCGAGCGATGGAGATAATAATATACAGCCTTTTGTCGACAATGGCGTTCATGTGAAGCCATACCTAACACGCGCGCGAGCAGCAGCTGCCTCGTGATTCGCCTCTATCATATGGAAGCCCTGAAACGACATACGACTTTTTGAGTTTTCAAGTTTTCGAGTTTCTGAATTTCGTATCGTATATGGTACTAGAGATGGAGGTCAAGCAAGGGTCACACAGGGAAGAATGTAAACACGTGAGAACACGCCTTGAGAAATGTTTTAAAGTCGAAAACAGACACACTGCGTATGCGTTATGACTGAGATTCTAAATTTAAATTAGGCCCTATGCTTTCCTGCTTAATAGAACACACATTTACTCTCACGTTAGGGGATTCTAAATTTGAATTATGCTATCCCGCTTAAAAAGGCACACATTTACTCTCATGGTAGGGGATTCTAAATTTAAATTGCTCTTTCCTGCTTAAAACAACACGCATTTACTCTCACGGTAGGGTATTCTAAATTCAAATAGTATTTTTCCGCTAAATAACACATTTAATCTCACGGTATGCGATTCTAAATTTAAACTGACTCTCTGCTTTAATATCACGGAATAACGCATGCGCAGTGTGTTCTATTTAGGACTTCAAACATTTTCTACGACTTTCTTAACACTTTATATATATTGATCGGAAATTCAGAAACTCGGAAGCTCAAAAACTCGCATGTAGTCTCAGGTCTTCCATACTAGCAGACGATTAGCGTGAGCCTAATACAGTCGATCAGTTTACGGGTTCTAAGTCGTCTTCTTATTGCGTAATTTTCGTCATTTTGTTGTATATCATGCAGAACGAGTTCTACACTGACTGTCTAGAAACGTCTTCACGATTATATAATCATATAATTTATAATAGTGCAAATCTGTGTTATTATTGTGATTGTAACAGCTGTCGTTTCCCCATCTTCTCAAAGCATCTCCAATTATCGTTACTGCATACTCGCATAATTCCGAAATAATGTTTCAACTGTTTTATTTCGCATAATAACGCCGACAATGCTTGATAGAGAATGAACGTCCCCGAACTATTCCGGAGGCATGTATAGGTT